GTGCAGGGCCAGCCCCACCCTGCCCAACAGCGCTCCTGCCTGAGTCCCCAGCCTCACATGGTGGCAGGGTGCAGGGCCAGCCCCACCTGACTCCATAACATGCAGCATCTGCACTTCCACTCAAGTCCCTGGCTGCACATAGTGGCATGGTGCAGGTCCAGCCCCACCTGGCCCCACAGCGTGAAGCTCCTGTACTCCTACCCAAGTCTTCGCCCGCAGGTGGCAGCAGCGTGTGAGGCCAGCCCCACCCAGGCCCATAGTGCTCAGCTCTTGTATTCCCACTTGAGTTCCCAGCTGCATGTGGTAGTTCAACCCAGCCCCATAATGTGCAGCTCCTGCAGCATGTGGGGCCAGCCCAGCCTGCCCACATAGTGGATGGCCCCCCACACTTTCACACCCTTTCCCTGAACAGGAGTCCTTGACCCCAGCCCAGTGGGGCTTTTGCCTCAATTCCTAGTCTCCCAGGCAGGGAGGGCTGGGAACAGCTGTGGGGGGAGGGGGCAGGCAATAGCCTCAGCCAGAGCCACCTTGTCTCCAGGCCCCCTGGCTCAGGGCTGGAGTGCACCAGGCCAGGCTGGTGTGGGGGTTTGTTTCTTAGCAACCAGAGCTGCACCTCCCACATGGGGGCTTGGAGAGGGGCAGCGAGGGCAGGGCTTATGGAAGGGTCCCACAAGCCCGATACAATCGCCTGTATGGCGCCTGCACCTGGGAGACAGTAATCCACTCTCAGCCCAGAAACCACACTTTTGCGACATGGAGAAGAGGGATTTGCTTGGGATGCCATCTGCTTGGACAGTGTGGGGAGATGTGGTGTCAGGATACAGGGAGTGGCTTGGCTCCTAAGAAACTGTGGACCGTTCCCAGCAAGGATTAGACCCATCCCAGCCATCACCCTTCAGTCCCAAGGGATAGTAAGGAATACTGTCACCCTTCAGGACTGAGGAATACTAGCTAGGGACTATGTCCATCTCCAACAGCCTGCTGCTCTCTCAGCCACATCTGTACACTTGAGTGAGTTGTGCTCCCTATTTCTTATGACATAGAGAAAGAAGCTAACACTCCCTCCTCCTCCCCCTGACCTCCGCTGGGACTGTATGGAGAATATCAGTTGCCTCTGGCAAAACCATTTCCTGGAGAAAGCACAGGAGGGGTTAACAGTGTTTATAGCAAAAAAAAAAAAGAAAAATCAAAGACTTCAGGTAGGAGAAGAGATAACAGAATTGCAAACTCAGGTGCCTCAGATGATGATAAAGTTACCTGATAAATGGATGAACTTAAAACCTAGGGGACATAATGAAGAAGTAGAGATAGAGGGAAACCCCGTCAGAAGTGTTTAAAATTAAAGGGCAGTTAACATATGGTACAGGTAAGTTGGACAGAATCACTGGGTGTTTTCAAGAGCCACACATTGTAATAAGTGATTAGTAACCCACTCCTATCACTAAAGTACACAGGTGAAAGTTCAGTACAGCGCTCCAATTACCCAGCACCACTCCCTTTGAATGCAAAAGCAACTCTGAAGGCTATGGCATTCAAAAATACATCCAGCAAGTACAGCAAAAAGGGCCACTAGAGAAATAGCACAGGGATCTCTTACACTAACCTTTCTACTCAAGGCACTAGGGTGCCAAATTCTGTCCACTTGTCTTCATGGCAGGCTTGAGATACTGGTTCTGTGCTGCATACTGTGTGCACTTGCCTGTGGAAATATCTTGTTAGCTGTAAAAAGTACCAACTTTTACTGCAATAAAAGCTCATCATTCGAGATAACTTGAACTAGGGCTGTGCCATCAAATAAATATATTTGGAATTATTTGCATTCTTTGGGTGATAGAAAGGTAATAATTTGTCTTGATAAATGAATTAATTTCATGCATCATTAACCAGACCCAAATACATCCAATAAACTCAGCAAAAAAAGGGCATATGATAGAAACAGTACAGGGATCTCTTACATTAATGTTTCTACTCATGGCAGTAAGGTGCCAATATTATGTAAGCAAATAAGACTCAAGAAGAATAATCAAGCTTAAAACAAAGACTTCTTCTGCAATATAGTCACAATATGTAGGACGTATAGCAGAGTCACCATCTATTGGAATTCTACATGCAACATTTAAAACAAGTTTCAGACCAATGTCTCCTTCCAGTGCATTAAATCAAAGATATACAAGGAAGCCCATGGCTTGCCTTTAGCTTTTCCCCCCATTTTGGTACAATTGTCTGTGCTGCATTACTTCCATTTAAACTGCCCCCTAGCTGTGTTCAAACTCTGATACATGGCATGAAAGCTTGGGTTAGAGAAAGGGAAAGGCAGAGTCTACCCACTGGTAAAGATGCTGCTGCTGTTATGATCACTATTCCTCTTCACTCCATGTGCGCCCAAAACACTCATCTCCAAAATTCGCTTTTGCATACGGCTTGATCAAAAACTTATTTGCTCTGGATACCTTTGCATTAATTTTAAAATTTTACAAGAAAAACGGTGCGAACCATTCATAGAGGATAATCCACTATAATGTAATAACTGAACTGACTGCTTAGAGGGGTAGAATGTTGGAAAAGCATCTGTCAAGGAAGGAAAAGCCATCTTGCTGCCAAAGAATGTCATCAGAAATCAGAGGATCTAGACTCAGATTTTCAAAAGTTGCACAATACTATTATACCTGAAGTAACCGTGATTGTGTGAGGGTTTGGGCATATGTTCAAAATGTTTCAAACCCCACCTTTATTTAAAGAACCCTCAGTTTGAGCACATCGGTACCCCACAAACATGCAGGTCCTCCCAGCTCACATGCCTCAAAATACTTAGGACCTGATGCAGTTGCACTGCTCCACAGCTGCTGGTGGTTCCCAGCATCCCTCTTATGAATCCTGAGGCTTCAGAGGGCAGCTAACCAGAAGCATCACACCTCTCAGCTTCTGCTTTCTGCTTTGCAAGCCTGGCTGGTTTCAAGTGCACTGCATTCCTGGTGGGACTAGACAATACGTGCTTATGGCTTTCTTGCCCTCCAGTCTCTCAGAGAGCAGTATCTCAAGGTATTGCTTCTGCTCTTCAGGTCACACTTTACCTACCTTACCATGCTTTTTATCTCCTTCACTGATGGAACACATACACACCTGTACCCAGTATACTGACTGTAGTATAGGGGTATGCAATTTGCGCTGAAGGGTCCACTTAATGAGCTTTGTGAGCTGTTGAGGGCAGGAGGGAGAGAAGGGGGCTGGGGAGATGCTAATTGATCCTATCCAGCTTGCTGGCCACTGCCAGGAGCCTAGGAGGGAGGGCGGTGCCCTGTGCCATTCTGCTCTGCTGCAGCAAGGGCCAGGCTATACAGCACGCAGACTCCACCTCACCACATCCAGCCACCCAACCTGGCTTCCTGTTGGCATTGCGCAGTCCTGGCATTGCAGCCACCAGCATCTGGGCCTGCACGGGACAGGGTGCAATGCAGTGTGCCAAGTAGCTGTCCTGCCCACCCATCTGCTGTGATGAACTGCTGCCACTACACTGCACCAGGAAAGTTGGGGGCAGTTGCCCAGGGCTGAGCCCCCCCCTCTGTGGCTGGAACAGACACACCTCCTAGTGGTGCTGTGGTAGCAGTGGCTCATCATGGAAGGCAGGTGGGAGGGCTACTCAGCACACTGCATCCCATCCCATGTGGACCTGGCTGCCAGCAGCCATGGTGCCAGGACCACACTGTGCCAACAGGAACCTGGCTGGGGGGGGGCAGGAGGAGTCTTTGTGTTGTGCAGCTGAGACCAGATATGGCAGAACCCTCCCTCCTCAGGCCCCCAGCAGCGGCCAGTGAGCAGGATAGGATCAATTTGCAGGCTGGATACAGTCCTCGAGCTATAGTTTGCCTTGTACAAAGCAGGCCTCTGGATTCCTATGGCTTGTATGAGAGGAAGGGAAAAATTTAGTGATGCTCCCAGAGCATGGGTGTGCTACTAGTCACCAGTGTGTTTGGTATGCAGGGCTGGTGCTCCAAGTACCAAAAGGATGACAGGGAAGTCATCCAAAATGATGGCAAGATAATCAACTGGTCTTCTCCAATATTGGTGCCATAAGCTGTCTTGTCTCAGTGGCTGGTATGGCCCAAGCTCAGTGGTCCTGAATAGAAGGGCCTTCCCTAGGATCCTCTTGTTTCAGGCTGGAGCCTTCTCACAGTGCTTTGGGTCCACAGGGCTATTGAGGTGGACACTGAGCTCTCTGACAGAGTTGATAACAAAGCATGTCTCAATGGCATTATCACCTACAAGAATTTTGAAGAGTTCCTTATAGTAAATATACCACCCAACAGACACTTGGGACAGGGCTACCATCACAATACTGTCTTCAGAATGTTTGCTTTGGCCCCACTAATGCAAGTGCTAGTTATGCCCATGAGTGGCTACCTCTAATGCATGCTGCACATACACAGCCTGAGGGTTTGCCAAGTGCTCTCCTTACTCTAGCTAGAGAATTAAGTTGAGCATTTCTCTGACCTTCTTGGTACACCTCATTCATACAGTGGATGAGTAGGTACTTGAACATGTTCATGCTGTACATAAGAAGTCAATTTTCTGCCAGTTGTCCAGAAAATGGTGGCTGCATTATGCTTCTGCACCTGGGTTTAAGAAGGTGATGTCACACATGAAAGACTCTATGACCCTTAGGGCAGTACAGATGGCAGTAAGGCACAAAAGGGGGAACCTCACAGGAGACAGAGGGGTGGGAAGAAGCAGAACATTATGAGACAATGGTAGCTGAACAATGTCCTGTCACTCTGGACAGAACAATTTGAAGCTTTTCACTTCAGACCGCTTCAGAGTTGCTCCTGTTTCATCCAGGGTCATTTTATATAGTTCAGGCCAATCTGGAGTGCTAGGGCACTGTGCATTGCTTGTTCCTTCTCTTTCTATAGTACCTAAAAAACACTTGAAGCACTGCAAACATTACATCTGTTGATTATGTAAAAGTAATGCAAAAACAAAGGAGAGGGGGGAAGGAATCTTTTCAACTGTAAGTATGGTCAAGTAACTGGACAGGCTGCTGAGGGAGGACACAATGTCCCTCTCATTGGAAGTTTAAAAAAAAAAAAAAAGGTGACAAATATTTCATTTAGGTCCATTTCATTCTGCTTTAGAATGAGAATGAGTTAAATGACTTCTTGAGGTCCCTTCCCAGCCTGTTTCTGCAATTCTGTATTTTCAGTTGGCTTTTAATTTAATCTGTGGATAAAAAGCAGTAAGTCAACTCCTTTAAATCAATGCATATGAAAAAATTGGACAAGGAGAGCATTTGAGCAAGATTATAATAATTTTCAATGTCCAGGATATTAAAAACACTGCAAGCTAGAGTCCTCCCAGAAATAATGGATGTAGCCCAAGAAAGCCTGTATATCTAGTTTCTTACACCAACCACAGTTCACTCAGGGCCTGGAGTATTTTTGTGGCAGGTTGTTTTCAATGAACCTCCACTTACCCCTCTAGAATTTTTTAAATAAAAAGTTTTATTAGAGAAATTACTTTGAACAAAAAAGGACAACAATATTTGTTTTGTCATTTAAAAAAGTAACTGTTTTCTTCATGCCCTATAAGGTGAACCGAAGAAATGCTACAAAGGTCTCTTCCTGCTGCCATTCTGTGATGTATTGGTTTATATCTGCATCACTACAATAAATTATGAACAGTCCTTTTCCACGCTTCTCTCCTGAAAGTGCTGCATATTAACAGAAAATGTTGCACACAAACCACATTTCTATTCATTCTGCAGTATTGGAACCAGTATCTAGGGGAAAAAAAAAAGAGGAAGTAAATGTAAACATATACAAGCTGGTAGGAATCAACATTAAATCAAACTTTTCCTTTAACTGCTATAACAGATGCATCAAAAACTATCTATGTGGAAAAGACAACATGCATACCCAGTGCTGGAGAACAGTTACGTGCAGAATTACTTAAAGCAATTGTTCAGGAACAATCTTAAACCGCCCCCAGAGTCAGGCCAGTGGCAGGGAGCCACAAAGCAGGGAAAACTCTGCATTTTTTTCCAGGGAATCTTAAGTAGCTGGAACAAATCAGCCAAAGGCTATAAAGATTATTCTTCCGGGCCACAGTTTCAGATCTTATAAACCAACCTGTCAAAGTGACCAAGTGTTGTTTTTTTTTTCCAGGAAAAGCATCTGAACAACACATTTTCCTAAATAAAGTAGATAATCAGATATTCTATGAGCAGTATGCATGCGATGGTCATAGATTGTAAGGCTGGAAGGGACCTCGGAAACTCATTGGGTCCAGCCCCCTGCACCAAGCAGGAAAAATGACAGGTGGGGTCAGGTGATCCCAGCAAGATGACTGTCCAGTCTCCTCTTGAAGATTTCCAGGGTAGGTGATTGCACCACCTCTGGAGGGAACTTATTCCAGAGTCTGGACACCCTAATTTCTTTGGTTCCCTGGAATATTGAACTAGCTGTTCCCAGTGTTCAACCACTGTTATTTGCTTACTGCCAACACAGGCATTCTTTAATGTACTGATTGCTGAAAAGAATATTCTCGCTTTGCTTCAGTATATCATGGTGGTAATGTCATAACTGCAAGGTTAAGCAGACAGACAAAATAATTCCTATTTTGTTACCATATTTTTTAAGCTGTATAACTTAATCACTGACAAGTAGGGGTGATCATATTTATGTTTGGCAGCACTCTAGGCTTATTGATTCATACACTTAAAGACTAATACTAAGGCAACTATAATTCATACATCAGCTTTAGCTAGGACTCAATGATATAGCCCAGAACACACACACACTCCCATCTGAGCTAATTATCTCATTTTTCAAATGATCTTATTTCTGTACAGAAGAGCCGGAATTCCCAGTTTAAACTGAGTTCAGTAACCAGAGACAGAGACAGCTCCAATCACAAATATTCCCTCAGTCTGTTAATGACTCTGGCTGCGTGAACCAGGTTTCATAAGTCCACTTAAGCTGGATGTCTCTACCAAGATAATATTTACACTGTATTTTAGCACTTACTTTTTCCATCACATGCTACAATTTTCACTTTATCCACTTTCACGAGTTCAGTAACCTCCCTAAATTCAACATCGTTCAGTACAAATGTCCATACATTGTCACAGAACCTGTATGTATTCAGGGAGCCCTTTAAAAGAAAGATATAGCATAAACAATTATATAATGGATATCACCAGTGTGGTAACAAAGACAAGGATGTTTAGCAGTTGAAAAATTCTTATCTTATCCCACTGTCAAAGCAGCTATTTTACATAGTTTATGGAGACTCACCAAATGAAAGTTAACAAAGTTACTTTAACTTCAGACTCTATGGACTTTTTATCCTTAGTCTTTGCTACTGGACTATTTGCTAGGCAGAACATGCAAGCACAAAACTAGGTATTTTTAGGCAATTCTAAGGAAAACTATGTAGTTTGAACGCCCCCATGTGGCAGAAGTTGCTCATACTCATGTATGAACATTATACTTTAAGAAGCATCATACAAGGCAGCTAGTAATAATGATGGATTTTCCAGGCTTTAGAGGAAGGACAGTCAGTCAGACACCTGCATTTAATTTAATTTATTGTCAGCCAGGCTGGGGCATGGGTCACTCAAAGCTATTACTGTGATCCTTTAAACAAGATATATGTTCTATACGAAACAGACAAATAGTCTCCTAACTCTTTATCCGACTTCCTGAACACACCAGGACAATTATTTTGTCAGGATTTAAATGCAAGACATATGTGGATCATCTGATAAGCAACTCAGCTACGTGGCTAGAGGTGGAGATCAGCAAATATTATTACAATATGAGGTTATTTAGGGCCTTTGTATATTAGCAGGTATTTTGCATGTTACTGCTCATAAGCAGCAACATGTGCAACTGCCAACCTACACACCCAGAGCACTACTCATTTCTGACTCATTCTGACTCAAGAGCATTTGAAACTTAGTGCCAGAAGTACAAGATATTTTGCAGTTTAACACATGCAACTCAATTCATCCCATGACAGAACATTTCAATGGATTCACCAGTATGAGTCTTCTCAAAATCAAGTTCAAATATACATTAGACAAAGGGTTTGTCTCGCCTAAACTTACTAGAGTAAACACACACCATGTGGGACATTTTTTGCATAGGGTTGTACAAAATTCAACATGAAGAATTATCTAAAATCTTGTTTATGAGCAGTACACGAGTTAGGAAGCTTCATGGCAGCTCAGAGAAAATGTGTACTATGAACACTGTTTAACCCAATACCAGAGTAGATTATGTATATTAACTGGATAGTTTTTAAGAGATTACTTTTTTCTGCACTTCAAGATCTGGAATAGTGTAATAATAATAATAATAATAAAACAAAAGGTTAACTATAACATGCATTCCGAAGTCTAGAATGAATTACCAGATAGATTAACCAAAGATTATAAACATATCTGTTTTATTTAGAGCTTGGTCACAAAAATACCCATCATGTATTTTCTGAATTTTATTTCAGGCTACATTTTTCATGGGAGTTTTCTAGAACAGAATCCTAATTCTGCTATTATCTTGATGGTGGAAAGAAAAGGAATCCTGCCCTCCTCCCCGCAAAAAGTACCACCCGCCTCCTGAGTGCATCCATACAAGCATGCATGTGCGGTTTGCAGCACCTCAAAGCAGTCTGAGATTTTGCAAACTGCACATAGCACACATGCACCCATTCACCACACTGTTAAAGTAATAGAATCATAGAAAATTAGGGTTGGAAGGGACCTCAGGAGGTCATGTAGTCCAACCCCCTTCTCAAACTGGATCTAGTCCCCAACTGGATCATCCCAGCCAAAGCTTTGTCTAGCCAGGTCTTAAAAACTTCCGAAGATGGAGATTCCACCACCTCTCTGGGTAACCTGTTCCAGTGTTTTACTACTCTCCTAGTGAGAACATTCCTCCTAATACCTAACCTAAACTTTCCTTGCTGCAACTTGAGACCACTGCCCCTTGTTCTGTCATCTGCCACCACAGAGAACAGCCTAGCTCCATCCTCTTTCAACCCCCCATTCAGGTAGTTGAAGGCTGCTGTTAAAAACAACCACTAAAAAGAGTAGTGTGGCACATGCAGCAGCAGCATGCATTACTAGAAACGGAGCCTAACTGCTCTGAGCAGCCAGCTTGGTGCCACTGCTATTTGTCCTATGGGAGATGTGCGTCCCGTATGTGTGCTCATCTGGATGTTTCCTATCTCCATCTTCTCACTCCAGAGAAGATGGATTCCTTTCCTAGTCTCTGTTGCTAGGAGTTATCACCTTGTTACGAATGACGCTTGAACTTGCATATGCTGCTCCCTACTGGTTTCTGTGAGCAACAGAGCAAAAGGCTTTTGAGATTTTCACTGCTTTGACACAGCACCATTCTTGCATTTACTGAGTACATTGCAGCAAAGAACTGCAGTATTACAGGTCACTTCTGTATATTAATCCAGAAATATAACAAATAGCCTGCCTCCAAATATAAAGCTTAACTAGGAATGGAAAAAAATCAGCAACAGAAATACACCCCCACAAGCACAACCCTGACAAGATGTAACCTTTGCAAGGTTCTGTGCCAGACAGGGGACAGAACCGTAAGAAACTTGAACAGCCTATGAACAGGGAATCCGTCATAACCAAATACAAAAGCAAGAATTAAATTCAATATTGTAGAGATAATGGTTATATACAGATGCAGTCTTGCTAGAATCAAAATAAACCCTTAAACAGACTTTTTCAATCATGGCAAATACAGATAAAATTCTCTTTGCTGCCACTGAATACCAACACCCGCTTCTTGGGGATGTTAATAATTACAAAAGTGCACCTACCCTGAAATTGACTCTGTTCCTGACCCGCTGCGCCAATGCTGAATTTATAGCCTTGTCAAACTGAAGTAGCACTTGCAGAGCAAGCTGAGGGGTGATTTGCTGCGACTATAAAAAGGGGGGAAAAAATAACGAGAACATGAGACTATAAGGGAGAAAAAAAAAGAAAAAAAGAAACGCACATTAATTTTCACTTTTTCTAGCTAGAGAACATTACGGATTAAAAATACACAGATACGGATTAAGTAAAACTATCACAGCAAAATTTATATGATACAAACTCTTGAATAAAGCTTTACTGAAAAGAGATTTCTGTTTTTATTGTTTTTCTCACAAAAGAAAGATATAAATTCTTGTGTAAACATGGTAGTGATACATCCACATGGAGAGATGCCTATTTTCTAGAAATATGGATAATAAAGTCAAATTACAATTGCCTTTCTATCCAAGATCTGCAGTCAACCCAGGAGCCACTCTCATGATTAGTAATTCACTAAGTCAAAGCTGACAGGAATACGGTTAGACTGTAGCATAACCCAAAATTATTTGGCCAAACTGACTGAAACTAGCAGCTCTGAAATTTAAGGACAGCTCCCCAAATTTAATTAAATTAATAGATTCATAGATTGTAAGGCTAGAAAGGACCTTGGAAGATCATCAGGTCCAGCCCCCTGCACCAGGCAAGAAAAATGACAGGTAGGGTCAGGTGACCGTCCAGTCTCCTCTTGAAGATTTCCAGGGTAGGTGACTTCACCACCTCTGGAGGGAGCTTATTTACTCCAGAGTCTGTACACCCCAACTGAAGAAGTTTTTTCCTAATGTTGAGCCTGAAATGGTCTTCCAGGAGCCATTACTCCTGGTTTTCCCCTCAGGTGCCTTGGTGAACAGCTGTTCACCGAGCCCCTGACGTACTCCCCTGACGTAGCAATAAGCTGCTACCAGCTCCCCTCTCAGTCTTCTCTTTTTCAGGCTAAAAAGTCCCAGGTCCCTCAGCCTTTCCTTGTATGGTCTGCCATGCAAGTCTCTGATCATAGGGGTGGCTCTTCTCTTGACTCTAACGAGGACATGGTAAAACTTGAAGAGTGTGACACCCAGAACTGGACACAGTACTCCAGCTGGCGTCTCACCAATGCTGAGTAGAGTGGGAGAGTCACCTCCTTATAAAATATAAATACCGGAAGGGTGAAGAACCTGTTAATCAGTAGTCATAGAATTTTTATATCACCTCAATGTCTCCATCTTCAGGACGAAATTGAACACTTTACAGTCAAGCTATTGACAAAGATTTCTATACTCATGAAAAAGCAGTAAGTTTTCCACTATAATGCTTCTTCCTAATTAAAAGAGAGCACAGTTGCACTCACTCCCCAGGAACTATTTATTTATCATGGCTAAAAGAGAAACAGATCAAGTGGGCTATTTCAGAATATAGTTTAGCCATTCATTTACTAGGAGACATGAATGCATTTTGTTCTGCCAGAATATTTTATTTAAACACTGCCCCAGAAGTATAATTCCTGCTTTTAATTTCAAAACAACAAAGTCTCCACACCTCAACAACACAGAATTGGTAAGGTCTCTGCAGACGAATCAGAGAGCCCCCCCCCCCACCTTTTTTTTTTAAACTCTGCACACCACTGGGTCAAGCACTTGGCATATTTCAGCTCCACTCGTTCACTGCTCTACCACCCTTCAGGTTAAGCCGCTCATCTCCCACCTGTATGAGCTCATCCAGGCTCTCCTGAAGACTGTTCCCCAGGGTGGTATTTCTGTACAGCTGATATGCCATGGTTTACTGAGGGAAGGTGGAAACGCTCCTGCTCGTGCACAGCTCCAGACCAGCTGCTGGGGCTCACGCTGTCATTGAAAGCCTGGGAAAGCCAAGAGAAAGTGTTAGGCGGAGCGGTTCTGACCCATAACGTAGCAAAGCCTCTGCTCGGACTCAGACGAACCCAAGTCCCTCAGGGGGCAGCTTCCAGTCTGACCCCCTTTCCAGGGCGGCGCCGCTTCGGCGAGGGGAGCGTTGTGGTGCTGCTGTGCTGCCGCGAGGCGGCCCCTGCGGCCCAGGCCAAGGGAGGGCGTCTCCCCCGGGGAGGGGGGCGCAGCCCGGGCTCCCCCCGAGGGTAGGGGCAGGGCCCGCGCGCACCTGGCGGGGAGGGAGGGACGCGCTCCCTCGCGGCCACCGCCTCTGCCGCCTCCCAGCCCGTACGGGTCCAGCCGAGCCCGAGCGCCGGAAACCCCAGGCTGCGCCGCGCGACCCGGAACCGGAAGAGTGCCACCACCGGAAGTGCCACTTTTTAACTCCGCGCAGGCTGGTGGATTTTTTTTTTTTTTTTTTTAAACCC